AGGTTCACTACATGACCCACGGGGCGAACAATAACTCGGCCCGCCGGGGGAGGAAGCTGGCCATCGAGAACACCATGGCTCTGCTAGGCTCAGATGGGAAGAGAGCCTCCGAGGTGTTGCCCAAGGAGATCCGGGCGCCAGCGGTGAATGTGGACCCTGCGGTGTGGAGCCAGTATACTGCCATGCTCAACGGCGGGCTGTCCCTGAAGACCAACGAGATCTCTGTGATCCAGAGCGGAGGGATCCCTCCGGTGCCCGTGCCCCTGGGGGCCAGCTCCGGTGGGAGTAACTCGGGCGCCTCCCAGGTGGATGGTTCCCAGGCTGCACACCTGAGTTCGGATGTGCAGAAACCCACTACTACTGACGGTGTCCCTAAACACCAGTTCCCTCACTTCCTGGAAGAAAACAAGATTGCAGTCAGCTAAGAGAAGAGCGGGCAGTGACGGCCAGGATGTAGACAGAGCGGAATCTAGAATCTTGTTTTTTCCCTCTTTGTAATTAAAGAAGCCACCTCACTTCCTGTGGGGTTTCTCCCCCCCCAAGTCTGGAAAGAAGCGGGTCTTGCCACAGTAGCTTTGTGACGTGTGATAAACTCTGTATGTAGATCCTTTGTACAACCTAGAATAACTGTTTCCAAAGAGTCTTCACTGACCCCCTCTCAAGGTGGGACCCATCGAACCTTCCCCAAACCGCCAGGGAACAGGCAGCTGCTTGATTCAAACTGGGGGAGGTGGGCACGTGCGGTGTCCTTGCATTACCTGTCACTGCAGATAAGGAGACAAGGTCTGGCGGCTCTTCCTAACAGTTTGTTTTATGTCTCCTACCCCACACCCATCTTCTTTTTCTTTCTTTTTTTCGAATGTGCTGATTTATTGCTTTTTCTTGACACGCTAAGGTTGCAGAACTAGAAAATTCCTTCCACCTTAGACTCCTAGATATGCCGGATGCTCTTGGCCCTGGAACTGGCGTGCGTTTGGGTGTGTAGCTGCTTATTTAAATTCAGTTCAGGGGGAGCCCCGAGACTTCCAGTGTCCCTCCTCCACATTCCAGAGGCCTCTGTCTACCCGGTTGCCAGGACAGGTGGGGCGCCTGTGCACAGGGTCTCAGGGGACTTAATTTAGCTCGCCAGTGCCTATTCTCTTGAAGAGCCAGGATTTCATTCTTGGGTCTCTTAGTCCAGGTTCACCTAAGTGTTTGGTTTTGTTTTTAATTCCCTTGATGACTCAATGTCAACTTGTGAAGATTTCCCCTCACCCGAGTTTTGCATGAAAGCTGCAAAATTGGAGCAGGCAAGCCCTGGGTTATGCAAGCTTTAATTTATCTACCTCATGTATCTTTTATTTTTGTAGCCATAGTCTCTATTTTCCTATTTGGATCGACCGTTGGCCCCTTCCCCAGACCCTGTGTGAAACCTGAGGGTTGATGCGTGGACCTTCGGGGTGTTTCTGTTGCCTTTTTGTTCCTTTGAACCTCCTTTTAGTGCGTGGAATAAAATAACGATAATAAAGGATTGCTGAAGTGGGGCTCTCCTAGTACGAAGAGGCTGGAAGAGGAGACTCCTGGGTAGAGCTCGCCACGGAAATTGAAACTGCATGGAGACTTGTTACCAAAAAAGCTTCTTGTCCCTGTAGTTCTCGCACCTGACCTCTTAAGATCCAAAAAGAAAAAAAAGTGTTGCTTTTGGTTTTTTTTGTTGTTGTTGCCAAGTTGTGCCTTTCCTTCTGGAATCGAAGTGACCAAGGTGATCGGACCTGTTTACACGGAGGGAGGGGGGTGTTGTTACAGGAAACACACCCCAGGCTGTGCAGCTGGACAATGCCGTGTGAATGTATGCGCTACAGCGAAGCCTGTAGTTGTACCTGCTGATGCTGTCTGTCTGGAGAATAAACCTGGATGGCTCTGCCTCCCATCGGGTGTCGTCTGGGAGTTTTTCTGGCTGTCTCTGCCCTAGACACTGAGCTGCTTCCCAGCAGCCCGAGACCCTCTGGCTCAGGTTTCTGGGAATAACTGCACACCTGTGCATGCAGACAGGAGCAACCTCCCCTGCCCCATGGTGCCCTCCTCCCTTTCAGGGGATCCCATGTCTCAGGCAGTTTTGAGGGCTCATTGGTAGAATTCTCAGTCTGGCCAGTTCACAGGTTCACTTTGGAGGCTTGTGTGTTTCTTAAGTTCTGAATAGGTGTCAGCAGAGCTTCCAGATGAAGGTGGAACTACGAGGAAAGGGCTAATGATCAGAAAATCACTGGCCAACCAAAACCCTAGGACAGGTCTGATGTGCACCTGTTGGCACAGGGGCCACAAGGTACCTCATGAATATTCATAGGCGAGAAGCCAAGAGTCTGGGGGAGCTCAATGAGAACTTGTGGCCTTCAAAGGTTTGTGGCACAACATGGAAGGTAAAAGGTCAACCAGGTCACAGTCACTGCTCTTGCAGTATGGCGGTCCGTGCTAGTCTCTAGTGGCAAGGCCCGGGAGAGCCTCCCACGGGGACCTGGCAAGAAGGACCCTGTCTGGACAGCAGTGGGGGTCCTAAGGGAAGTATGTAGAGCACAGGTCCTCAAACTTTTAAACGGGGCTAGTTCACTGTCCCTCAGACCCGTCGGAGAGCTGGACTATAAAAAAAAACAACTGAACAAATTCCTATGCACACTGCACATAACTTATTATGAATTGGAAAAAAAAACACCCGGCGGGCTGGATGTGGCCCACAGTCTGTAGTTTGAGGACCCCTGATATATGGAGTGTATAGCAAGCCCCATGGGGCCAGTTAGCCATTTTATTTTGTTGGTATTGCCCCCCACCCCCTGCCAGCCTGCCTAAGTTCTGACCAGGAAACTCAATTAGGTTGAAGCATGCAGTTTAATACTTCAGCAAGCAGGGCCAGCGTGGTCTTAGATAATATAGATGCCCAAGTGCTCTCAGGAGACGAGTGGGAGGGTGGTATGTTGCATGGCCATACCTAATAAGTGAGGTACCAGCTTCCTCACACTGGTATCTGCAACACACCTGCAAGTTCATGCCCCCCAGAAGATCCATGATGTAGCTGCTGTAAGACCCACCTGTCCACTCCTGTCTATAGGTTTGTGTGTCTGATGCTACTTGTTCAATTCCTGAAGGGTGATTGGAAGGTTTCCCATAGTTTGTCTCAGTGATAGGACCTTTGCCTTTTCACACTTTTAAGAATCAACAATTATACACACACACACACACACACAAAACCTTACTTTGAAATTTGACCCTGTGTTAGTCTGGGTACTTAGAGAAACAAATCCACAGAAACTCATGAGAGTTTTATATAAAGGCTATGCACATCAAGAAAACATCCCAACCCAGTGCTGCCCAAGCCCACAAGTTCAATATTAACCCATATGTCCGACAGCAATCCACAAAGCCCTCCCGGGTAAAGACGCCGACCCAGTCAGTAAGCACATAAGCATCAGCACTAGCAGGGGTTTCCACACAGCTGCTCCAGCACCCAGGGCTGCATTGGGTAAGTCCAAGAGGCTTCTTGGGGATGTCTCAGGAAGTGAGCCTTGCCAGCTGGAGCATTCCTAACACGTGGGGTTGCCACCAATCAAACTGCCTCCGGGGTCCCCTCAGGGCTCAAATAGTACAGGTTTAGAAAATAATGATGGCAACAGATGTGCAAATATGCTTGATACAATTGATATATGGATTGCCTTGAGTCCCCCAATAAAATGATCTTAAAAAGCCTCCAGGGCAACGTATTTAGAGTGGGCACAGGAGAGTTTGAATGAAGAGTGAATTCAGGTTTTGAGCTGTCACTTATGGGGTGCTGGGTAGGGCAGGGGTATTATAGGAAAATAGTGGGGGGTGGGATTCTCCAAATAAACATTTGGGCTTTGTCTCCTTGCCTGGCAAGCCAGGTAAAACTTGACATGTCAGAAGTCAGAACTCTGGGGAGCTGGATTTGGATGTGGGGCCAGCTAGCTGTGACTACATCAGAGTGAGCCAGGTGGCAGTTTAGCTTAACCACAACATCAAGGAAGGTGTTGAAATATCTGGAGGTTTTTTTTCAAACCCGGAAGCCCTTCAGTAGTATTTCAAAGACAATTCCCCCAAGCAACGTAGCCTGTTCACCACTCAGCAGAGGCCAAACAGGAAGTGTGCAGCACATCCCTAGGAAGTGCAGAAGCTGAAAATTAGTGCATGACAAGTACATCACAAAGCTACCGTGGGGGCCATGGAGGGGTTCACGATGAGGTCACTGGTTCCCCGGTAAACATTCACGAAGGCAACAGTGGCCAAACCTTTCATTAATTTCATTTACAACTAACGTGATGGCTGGAAATGCTTCCCTTTAGCGAGGCATGTGATGTTAGCAGGGACTGATGATTTCATGGGCAGACACGGGCTGGCTGGACTGTCCCCACCCTGCCTTAGAGGGTCACTAGGAGTCTGGAACAACTCAAAGGTAGCAGGTTTGGCATTTTAAAATTTAGTTCATATTGTTGAGGTTGAAATGGTGAGATTATGAACTGCTTTGTCTAGGACATAGTGTACATCCAATACAGTAGCCATTAGTACCTCCAAATACCAACAGGGTGGAGGAGTGGCAGCCAGCGCTAGCCTTTGTAGCAAGGAGCCTAGTAGCGTAGTGGCAACTCTTTGGGTTGCTAACCTTAAAGTCAGCAGTTCAAAACCAGTCTCAGAAACCCACAAGGGCAGTTCTACCCTGTCTGAGACACTTTTAAAAAAAAAA